CCTAACAAATAAAACATTAACTTTACTAAAGTCTATTAATCTTAAGAAACTCCATCCATTTCTCTCTACTGACAGAATCAGCTCTGAGGAATACTATGGAAAGGAGTTATTCAGTAAGACTCTTTAGAGACGGTTCTGACTTTGTTTTACCTGACCTGCAAAACTTTATTCTGCTGCAATGCCTATACATGCTAGGTAGGAAACAGGAGTCATTACAGAAGTCCAGAATAAAGACCAATCTATCCCTAAGACATAAAAGAGATCAAGTGAGGCAATGCAGATAAGGAACAAGAAAAACATTCAAAGCACAGACATGTCCAGCACTGCATTGCTTCAATGCACAAAACCCCACCAATGTCTGCTGCAGTCACAACAATATTCAAGAAAGGACATGAACAACAAAAAGTTACTTTGGGAAAACTTACAGAAAACACATTCCAAATGTGTGAAGTAGTACAGTAGAAATAAAAAAATGCATGTGAAATCTTAATGAACTGCTACAGAGTATTGCATCTCAGTTAACAAATACATACATTAAGCTCCTGTAGTAGCAGGGAACAGTAAGATGGAAAGAGCATTAAGAAATCAGTAGATCAAGGTATAATTTGCTCTTTAGTGCTTTTAAGGCCTTCTTTGTTAATAGTGCAAACTTTATGAGCTGGAAAATCGCATTTAAACTGTTCTTCTGTTTAAAATAATGTAGACATTGTGTGATTGTTTACAGTACCAAGAGATCACCTACCCGAGATGCTCTAAAGTAGGTCTGTAAGCACAGGACTCTGATGGGGTGGACCAAAGACATCATTTTAGTGACTCTTTGCTCACCAGAACACACCACTGGCAGGCACACTGCCAAAAGCTACAAGGTCCAGCAGTGCCCTCACCACGTAAAGAAAGCTCTAGCTAAGCATCACCTATGGAACGCCTGAACAGCTAAAAAATGAGTACCAACAACTACAGCTATTGATTCTGGTACTCCTAATTCTGCATGGCTTGCAGACTTTAAGCTCTAGACTTAAATATTTTTCAAATGAGATTATTCAGAAAAAAACAGGGGGCTTGGGAAATGGAACATTTTTTAAATTCCCATTTTTTAAAAAGGAGTAGCCATATAGATTAGTGAAGGTATCAGGCAGCATTAGTGTGAGGACTTCAGTCAGCAGCTGATGGATGGTAACCATTATCAATCACTTACCAGCTGATTGATGGCGAATGGTAACCCCAAGGATCTGCAACTGAAAACTTCTCTAGATGTTGCCCTACAGTTGTCACATAATCAAGTGATTAGCAGTGGCACTGCTGTACACACTGCCGCTGGGCAGAAGAGGAAAAGGGAGCTTCTGTGAATTACATTCTCTGACTAAATCAACTACCTCCAATAGTAAGAAAAGGAAGTGACCAAAAACTTACTGATGAAATCAGTGAAAGAGAACAGAATCAGTGCAGATATTACGTTTTTTGCTGCATGGTAAACCCTTGTAGATTGGGTGGAGGGGTGCTGCTAATGTAAGAGATACACAGCATCTTTTAGTACTGTATTTGTTTTGAGAATAATATTATCTAAAATAACGTGCTTGCATTAATTTCCCATTTCTATCACTCCCACTAACAAATGAAACTCTGGTAATTCATTCCCTAACTTGGCTGCACTCTGTAATGGTAGGAAGTTCTTAATCAGAACAAGAAATGTTTTCCTTTAACTTTCCATTATCTGTGGAATTTACAAAACACATGTAACCTTAAAAATTGCCCGGTTTGCTGGCATCAAGGCTAACTGCTTACTAAGAGAAAATTACACTAATCAAATCATACAAAACCAAAGTTTCTCTGGCAATTATTCCTGAATCTCAAATCAATTCTTGCTCTATTTTACTGTCTGAACTATGATTTATGTGATAGCATGTAAACAGACTTTGTTTTTTAATACACTGAAGACAAGATACATGTTTAAGTGCAAAGTCTCAGCAATGTATTCGTTTTATCAATAGTATAATTTTACCAGAAACCTGAAAGAGATAAATCAAGAACAATCCCGATTTTACAGTGGAAAAACAACTACATACTTTACCTGTCATATACACACGTTTGTATTAATTGTATCTGAACCCTGTGCAATCATAGTTGCCAGTGCAGTTTCAACTACATACAGGCAGCCCCCAGACATATCTTTATTTTAGCCTAGCTTCTTCTAACAGTTGTTTTTGAAACTATAATAAATTAAATTTTTTTAATTCTGAAGCTGTCTTCTGAAAAGAAAATACCATTCTCCTCCTCTGAGCACAAGACTGCTTTTCACGACCTCTAAACCAAAGATAAAATACTCTAGAGGGTGCTATTTAGAAGAGTCATAATGCAACTTATTTCCTGACACACTCCTTCAGCTAGCTGCACCCAAGTAAACACGTGGTTCCAAATGCCACAGTTGGTTGATCAAATTGGAGTCATCAGCACACAAGAAGCATGGCCACAAATTTCAGTGTGCAACTTCTCGCAATGCCTCTACAGGCATTGTAAAACGAAGTGATAAGTCACGTCTCGCTTCTGGGATGGGACCATTTTCATGCTCTGCATCTGCCCAGAACAAAGGACAGTGAGAAGAAGCCTGGAGTGTTTCACTGCAAGTACAGCACAAGTTTCCAAGACATCTCAGACCTGCTACACCAACTTTCCTAGGCCTCCAACACTTGTACTAATAAATTTTTCACAAGAGCACTCTGGAAATATTTGACGTCATCCACGGGCATTCTAGCAGCTCTGAGGCATGATGAACAGAAAGAACCATCCTGGAATAAGTAAGAGTATAACAGTGAAACAAGAATCAGCAGCTCCAATTACAGAAAGCTGATATTAGCAAGCACCAGACCAAGTGTGTGACTGTCTTTCTTTCTGGACCTGCACCACTACAAAAAGCACAAGAATCACACTGATTTATCAGCACTAACTAAAAGTTCACAAATGCGCTTTTATACATAGCAAGAATATTCAATAATACTAAATTATTTTATTTTATCAGTGCCACTGAAGGAGAATATTCCTATTTGCTCCTCTCATTCTGAGAAATCATCTAGAGGGTGCTATTTATTCTGGTCCCTCTCTTCTCACCAAGGTCCTTTGAGCCAATAAAATCCAGTTTTATTTACTAGAACAGTAGAAAGTAAATCCAACAAGTACCAGTTTCCTGCCACTCTGATGAGTTAAATCAACTTACAGAAGTGTTCAACTGCCAGAGCTAGAGCATGGGTGGAGACTCGGGGAGCACAGCCATTTACAGGAACGCAAGAAAGGAGGAAGAAAAACTTCCTTCATCAGGAGCAACGAGCTGCTAAAAATGGCAGAAGTTCACGGCTTGGGATATGGCCATGAAATTCGAGCTTGAGATAACATCAGAATTTTTCCCTTTTCATCCTTTACACAGCTGATTCAAAACAAGTAACAAGCACATAAAACCATGTGCACACAGAAATTCACTGTTTGCCTCTCTTGTCTCTCCTCCAAAATTTAGTATTAAACATACACATTCACCTAGGCGCCCTTCAAGTTTCAAGAACAAAGTCGTAAAGGACGAACTGAGTCACTCTGTTCTATGACCCACAAAGCCAGGCAGTCATACCACAGCACCACATCAGATTTCATTATTTTAAAAATTAAAAAAAAAAAAAGAAAATACCAAACCAAAAAAACCAGAGAAATGGATAAATAATTCATTTGTGAAAAGAGCTATTTAAGAATATATGTTTACTTCAAAATTTAATTCTCTGAAGTTCAAGGTATTGACTTGCCAGCTTTGCAAGTGACTTGTTTTTGAAAACACCAGTTTATGTGCACTTCTCATTGGATAACAACCGTTCAGCGCTTGCACGCTTTGGGGAATGGTGCGGGCTTCCAAAATATGTTTATTTAAGATCAAATTTAATTTGCGCACTCAACAAAAGCACACAGATAACAACACTCACGTGAAACCTGAACATACTACAGGCATTGTATGCTGCTGCATCTCTCAACTTTAAGAAAAAGTGTAGCTTTAGCTCACTGTGTTGTGCTCTACAGAATTACTGCACTAGAGATGCTACATCTCCTCAGATCTGTGTTTTAACGTATTTTGCTTCCAGGCCAGATTCGCTTTTTTTTTTTTTGCTTTTTTGGCTGGAATAAGGCCTCCGTAGAGAGGAAAAAAATATATAAATACATAAACAGGTAAATGTGGGATCCCACTGACACAAGAACGATCTTGGAGCGAGGGCAGGCTTTAGCATGGTTTTAGCTGCAGACGGCCGAGTTGTGGCGGACTACACGGATGCCCCACGTGCATCCTACAACTGGCGGGCGGTTTCGCGCCGCTGCCGCCGCCGCGGCCCGGGCGGGCTCCGGCCGCCGCTGCCGGGCGGGATCCCGGCCCCACGGCGATGCTGCCGGAGCCGCCGAGCGCGGCCCCTTCCCGGCGCCCCCCGGACACAAAGAGCGGGAGGCCTGAGGGGGAGGGAGGACGCGACCCCAGGCGCATTCCTCCTGCCGGGGGCCAGCTCTGGGCGGCGAGGAGGGCGCCTTCCTCTTCCTCCTCTTCCCGCGGCGCCGGGACAAAGGAGGCGCGGGAGGGCTGCGGAGCCCGGCACGGGGCTCTCACTGGGGCAGGCTCCGCTGCCCCGCAGCCCCCGCCGCCCCCGGCCCAGCGGCTCCCCGGGCACTCGGGGTAGAACCGGGGCGGTTGGAGGCGCCCGGCGGGGCCGGTGGCGGGGCTGCCCTCCTCAAGGTGACACTCGCGGCCTCCCCCGCGCCCCGGCCGCCTCCCTCCTCCTCCTCCTCACCTGGCACCTGCAGACGATGTCGGCGTCCTGCGCCAGCAGATCCACCACCTTGCCCTTGCCCTCGTCGCCCCACTGGGCGCCCAGCACGACGGTGACCCTGTTGCCGGGGCGGCGGGCGGCGCACTCGCCGTTGGGGATGCCGGGGCCGCCGTGCTCCGCCATGGCTCGCGCTGCCCGCTCCGGCGCCGCTCCAGGCACATGCGGCAGCGCGCGGCAGCCGCTCCGCTCCCCCCGCCTCCGCCTCCTCCTTCCCCTCCCCGCCAGGCGGGCGGGCGCTACCGCCGCTGTCGCGTCCAGGTGCCGCCGCCTATCGGCCTGACCTGCCCCGCCAGTCCCCGCCAGCCCGACCCCTGCCCTCGGCCGAAGCTCGCCGCCCGTACGCGTGGAAAACCGGAACGGCGACCGCCGCTCCCGGCCGCTCTTTTCCCTGCCGCTCCCCCACTACGCCTCCCAGTTCCGACTACGTTACCCAGCGCGCCGCGCGGCCTCCCCCACGCGGGACGCCGCGGGGAGCCGGGCGCGGAGCATGGTGGGGCGCGTAGTCCCCGCGGGCCGCACCTGCAGCAGGACGGCGCCTGGGCGGTTGCCCCAGGCGGCGGGAGGCCGAGGCACGGGGCGGGCGCGGCCATGGCGGGCGGGCGGCGGGGCCGGGATGGCGCCCGTGGGAAGAGGGCGCCGGGGCGGCGATGCCGTGCCCGTCGCGCAGACCTGGCTGCGGCTCCCGTTCCCCCCGGGGCTCCAGCGCCGCGGTAGCTGCGGCTGCTGCCGCGGGTGTCAGAGCTGCACGCGTGTGTGCAGTGTGTCACAGCGCTGCCTGCGCGCTTGGGCTTGCTGCACTAACGATCACAGGACTGTAAATTCAAGTTGGGGGAACGAAGGCTGAGTATAAGAGGCCATTTTCTCCAGAGACACCGGAACATGGCCCCTGGCTTATTCATCAGAAAAAAAACCCAATAATGGAAAAAACCGTAGCAGAGAAACGCCTTCACCATGCACACTCAGAAGTGGAACTGATGTCTCAGTGGCTGTTTTCATTCCTTCCTCCTTCATAGAACCAACAACCCCGAGGGAAGATTTTTTTTTCCTTTATTTTTTTCTTTCTTTTCCTGTAAAGTAGCTGTTAAAAAGGCAGAAAAATCGTAACGATGTAATAATTATTGCCAAGACAGTTACTCAAAGACCTGAGTCACTGGGCAGGCACAGTCTGGCATGCTGTAATCTTTGATTTTAGTGGCTTCTTTGCTCCTTCAGATTTACTCCAGCTGAGGATCTGTAAAAGCCACTGGAGAAAAGTTTAACTGTGTCTTGTAAAGCTAGAGAGGTATGTAACGCACAATTAAATACAATATTGACAAAGAACTTTTTTTTTTTTAAACAACTGGAAATACATAAATCGTAAATGTCAGTGCTAACATGCTATGACAAAGTAGTCAATTCCGAATCAATTCAGAACGAAGACACTGAGCAACTGCAAACTATGGGAAGCAATTGTGTGTATACAATTCAGGGAGCATAATGCCTTAAAGAAACCTTATAGTCCATATTTAGTCTGCTTTTGCTAAAATATATATATATATATAAAGTCATGACTTCTGTATCCCTGCACAGAGCTTGTGGGAAGTCACTAAAAGCCACATGGAGCTGCTGAAGTAATTTTTCTCCCGTCTTCTTGACAACATGTCAAACTTTGCTCTAGTACAGTCACTTCTGAGGCCATAGATCATCCCATGACTCCTCAAGCAACAGTCAAGATTGTTTCAGGATATGATTTTCCAGTATAGCTGAATCATATTAACACTTCACTGTTGCCAAAACAAATATTACCTTGGATCTCAAAATAAATTGGAGTTCATAGTGTCCTAGTAATGGGGTGTTAGTGTAATGTCACCTTCCTAAGAATCTCAGACACAGGAATCTGTTGTTCTGCTATTTTTATTTGGTGTAGGAGAGCTCTGAGATTATGTTTTGGTATGGTTTCTTGTTAGGGAAGATAACGATAGACACTTCACTGCCAGAAAACCTGTAAATATTTAATAAAGATCAAGTTCATCAATACTGGTTGGTACTGCAAGGTTTAGAATTTTTATGTAATATATATGGTATTATGTGGGTCCATCATCCATCCCCCATTCCTTGCAAACTAAATGGAGGTTTTCATTCCAATACTAAAATATACCAAATATTCCTTATTGGCACAATTCACTAACTGTATTTATAGTATAGATCTAAAACCTGGTAACTTTTGACCAAAGCACAAACACAACTGGTGCCTAATGCCCTTTATTAAAAACAGGCACTGCACTTGTTGTGGCACATCTGGTGTAAGCAAGAAAACCAGCACGAACATGAAATGCTACTGCACTGGGCTTTTCCTCTAACATACATGGACTGCATTTGCTTTTTGCCTGCCTTGGTCAAGCTGAACCTGCTCTGGGAGTGGTCAGGTGGGCATTTAGAGGTGTCACAAAACAGCAAGAGTTTATGTTAAGGAATGAAGGAATGTGACTGCCTTTTTGGAGTTAGCAAGATGGTATGTGGGATTGTCTTTGTAAAACTGAACCCATGGAAGAAGAGTACACTGGTAAAGCTGTGTTGTCTTCTGGACTGTTTGCAGTGTTATTGTCTGGATACAAAGAACTGAGGCAGTTACATTTATCACAAATTTTACACTATTTCGGGTACATCCAGGCTTTTCATCTGACTCCATTTCCTGCCTCCCAATAAATGCAAGAGACTCAGGAATATTTGATAAACACTAAACAGAAGCGGTGTGAGATCTGCATTTAATTCAGATGTTTTAAAGATACATATGAAACGGTTACATCTCTGTGTTTTCAATTATACTGATGAAGTATCCCACACATTCTGATTATGCATTTAAAAAATTGCATACCAAGTAGTTTAGGGGAGAACTTCAGTAGTTCAGAAAATCTAGAGTGAGCGTGAATGAAGGGAAAGTGCTGTGACAAGGAAGGAAGAAGGCCAGCTGGACTGTTAGTTCATGACTGATGGGTCAGAGTGTGCTCTTTCTTTCTCCTTAATGATACTTCTTAATTGTGTTGAAGGACTACTGAGTGATAATACCTTTCTGATACAGTTTCTCCTGCTGTAAGCAATTTCTGAGTCTCAGGAAAGATACAGATTGAAGAAATGACCCTCGGCAATGAAAATGTCAGGGCACATGGCCTATGGTAGGAGTTTGCTTTTAAAATTGGTTCTGCCTGTGACAATGATGTAACACACGGATATTTTACAGGGAGGTCTTATCTACACTGTAACAGTGGTTGCAGAAAAGTAGTCTGTGGGCCATGTGGGCCATGGTTAGCTAATCTGCATGTGTCATATAGAACAGTGTTAAAGAATAAAATTTTGACATTTTCCACTAAACATCCTGTAAAAGTTAGTTTTACTTACTGATTATGTACAGCATCTTTAGAGCATTTTCGTATTTTAAGCTGATGTTAAGATGTACAGTGACTCACAAAAAATATTAGGTGTTGAAAACGTCAAAGTCAAAAAAAGCCCAAGAATCACTGTGCCAAACACGGCTGGCATCTGTAGTACTTCAAACTCTCCAGAATGCTGTCAGCTTAGCTTAGGAGGAAGAGAAATCATTATACAGTCAGGACATACATAATTTTATTTGAACAGTGTGCTAATGTAATTGATCCCTGCTTGTTGCCTGTTATTACTATTTTTAAATTAGTTTTTCCATTTAAAATTTCCCTTAATTATTTTTGTTCCATTCATTAATCTTTTTTTATCATGATACAAATGAGATAAAGAACATTACAAAGTAATGTTTTTGTATGTTTTCACAAATTATATATCTGGATGCACTAGCAAGAGTTCCTAGGTCTGTTTTTTTGTTAGAATAGTTCCCTTATCTGGGTCATTGCAAAAGTATCAGCTCAAGGGAGGGGAACACAGTAGCCCCAGTTTACACAGGCTTAATCTGTTTGAGAACAGCACCCTGAGTTCACAATCTCTTGAAAGTGCAACTAGGGCTGTGGGTAAGAGCTACTGCATCAACAGAAATTCAGTTTGGTTGTTAAATACAGGTTAGAATAAAGTTTTGTCTTTGTTAACTGGAAACCCATATACCCAAGTCTTGAAAACCCTTAATTTCTTCTACTACTAATCCTATCTGATGTTTTGGGCCATGATGGTATGAGACTAAGCAGGTGGATGGGGCAAAGTGTGACCTTAAAGGTGATCAAGATGTGTCAGCCTCTGGAATGACCCATTCGGCATTCTCAGAGAGCTCGGGGCTGGGAAATGTGCCCTGCCAGCTGCCTGTCACTCAGGGGCTTGTTTATGGAGCTGTTGAGAGACAGTCATCCTGTAGTTCCTCAGTGTCACTGATACTGCACAGTAGCCAGGTTGTCTCACATTCATGTGAGAAAAACTTGAGCCAAAATCTTTACGAATATTTTACATGCTTTTTTTGTTTTTAATATATTTGGTCCAGTGTGCTTATAAATGATGCTATAACCCTTCAGTCTCAGAGGTGTAGATTGTCTGTCATTGGAATGCTGAACTGTAGATATATTCTCAGTTTAAAAGAAATGGGAGTTTTTTCTCAGAGGATCCTGAAATCTTAAGTTTTCAAGGTTTAATATAAATACATTCTTCGTTGTCTTTATCTCATGCTAATGAGGGTTAAGCATTTGTGTGTTATTTTAAAAATAATTTTAGTTCACCAAAACCAACACCGAATTGTCCATTTGCTAGTCTTACAGAGTAAAACAAAAATAAATTCTGTGCAAATAAATTTGTGATCTGATCATTGTATACGTGTGATACTTTGGATGCAGATGTTTCTCACAGCACCATAGTCTCTAGTGAAATGGAGCTCCAGAACTGAATATGCTATTTACAAAATAACCCATCTTTATTGCTAGAAGATTGTGAGGGAACACTGCCAACTAAGAACAGAGTTTCATTAGTGCAGAGATGGTTAGATGAATCAATGAATCTAAGATTGCTGATAGCCTCCTCTATTTTATATCAATATGAAATATTTTACCTGTATCCCTTTAGCATCCAGCTACTCTGTTTGCTCTACAGACCTAGTGGTATCCCATACTTTCCCCGGGGGCAAAAGGCAGCTGGTTATCTTGTGCAGCTGCAAAACCCCTCAGCTTTTGCACAGGCCACTGAGTGGTTTTGTACCTCTTTCTGTATTCTGCAGTATGATTAAGGCTTAAAAAGGATGTTATCAATTTTTAATCTTACATTAAATGGGAGATAAAGAAACCATCATGCAGATATTACTGATATTAAGTAACAATGCAAAAAATGTAAGGAACGTCCCTTAATTTCATATTTTCTCTTACCAGAGGAGATTGCTGAAACTTAATTCATGAACATCAAAACTAATTGATGCCCATTTGTGTTTGCTAACTCTCTCTGAGTTTCCAGTCATGTGTTTGTAAATAGTCTCAGTGAACACAACTGGACTATCCATGAATCAAAGCTTTTTCTACAAGTAATAATATAGATGTATATATTGCTACAAGCAGATGTATATATTGATACAAGTAAAACATAAACTGATAGGGCTAGGAAGAACAGTGTATCAAAGCAAAAGGTACTCCTGATCATTCTAATTTTTTCATGTGGTAAGTGATGGCAGCTTAACAAACAGACAGGTAAAGTATTTTTCTGTGTAAATATTTTTTATAAACATGTAATAGTATCATTTTCTGTAGAAAATAACATATAGTATTTAATTATCTGATGTAAATAAAATAAAAATCTATCAGTTGGAAATCTATGATTTTCAGATAATATATATCTATATTCAGGTCAAATTGAGAACTCCTTTGTTTGCACTTTGAATTAAAATCCATAAGCAATTTCTGTATTTAGAACATGTCTAAAAATGAAGGATA